TAGGAGGGTTTAAAAAAACTTTAAATTTTTGGTCAGAAAAGTGGAAAAATTTTTGTTCAATGAAAAATAAAACATGGTTCTGAAAACTCGGGGGGGTCCATAACCCCAGTACTTTTAAGGTTTAAAAGAGTAGAACTTTGCCATACAATTGCAAAAAAGGGGCTTGGGGGGGTTTTGGGGTGCACAACCTTAAACCAAGACTGCAATCCAAAGGGGGACGTAATAAGGCAAATAATTACTGGGATTTATATTAAGAAGTGTAAGCAACAGAAGTCCAGAGGTCATACTGCAGCTTTATACATCATTAGCAAAGCCTCGCCTAGATTATGCAGCTCAATTCTGGTCTCCATATTACAGAATGGACATAAATTCATTAGAAAACATTCAGCGTAGGATGACTAAATTAATACATAGCATTAGAAATCTTCCTTATGAAGAAAGATTGAAGACTCTTAAGTTACATTCACTTGTTAGACGAAGAATGAGGGGAGACCTGATCGAAGTGTATAAGTAGAAGATAGGTATTAATAAAGGGGATATTAATAAGGCCTTGAGGATATCTCTCCAAGAGAGAACCCGCAGTAATGGATTTAAATTAGATAAGTTTAGATTTAGAAAGGACATAGGAAAGTATTGGTTTGGAAATAGGGTAGTTGATGAGTGGAACAGTCTACCTAGTTGGGTTATTGAGGCTAGGACTTTGGGTAGTTTCAAATTTAGGTTGGATAAGTACATGAGTGGGATGGGTTGGATTTGAGTGGGACTTTCACATCAGAGCTTATTTCTTGGGGAGCATTGAAAATTGGGTTGGGCAAATGTTTTGTTAGTGGGATGAATTGTAAAGGACCTGACTAGTATGGGCCAACAGGCCTGCTGCAGTGTTCCTCCTTTCTTATGTTCTTATGTTCTTATAACTAGCTTTCTGTTAACTTCTGAGGTTTCTCCCTCACCTGCCCTGTAAGGGGAGAGAGGGAACAGGTTGAGCTGCAGAATGGCACCCACACTTCACTGTGGCATGGACCAACGCTTTATGCTTCTGCCTTGCCTCAATGTTCCAACGTTGCATAGCTCCTGACGACGCACAAAACGCGAAGGATCTTGAGCTAAAAACCTCACTCCCTTCTCTTCCCCTCCCCTCCCCTCCCCTCTCTCCCCTTGAAAGGAAAGATAGATGTGAAGAAATTAACCCATGACCCATGTATATATATATATATATATATATATATATATATATATATATATATATATATATATATATATATTTATTTATTATCACACCGGCCGATTCCCACCAAGGCAGGGTGGCCCGAAAAAGAAAAACTTTCACCATCATTTACTCCATCACTGTCTTGCCAGAAGGGTGCTTTACACTACAGTTTTTAAACTGCAACATTAACACCCCTCCTCCGGTTCTGTAGAATGATGGAATAAACATATCAAGCTGAGAACCACGTTAAACAACGGCCTTTAGTAAAGTATCTTTTGACTGAAATAAACGCATAGACGTTTTCCATTTTTCCAGCGATTTATGGCCAAAATGAGGCTGGCAAAGTAAACGCTTGCAGCATAGCCAAGAATCTCAAACTCCAGCTGAGTTAGTTGAAACAAGGCGGCGGAGGAAATTACCATCAACAGCCGGGTGCTTCCTTCATCCATCTTTCCTAGAACAGAGAGAGAAGGAAAAAAAGAGTGAGAAAAGAGATACGTTGTCAGAGACGCCACCAGCGAGGCACAAGCTTGACAATTCTTGTGATCTGTGATAAGATAAACTATTGTCTTGTTAGAGCAGTTTCCGGTCCTCCAGTGTGGTATTTAACCCAAAATTCCTCACATTTATTTGTATTTAGTTCTTCTCTTTATTTAAACCCACAACAATAATTTAATTACACCCACAACAGCAATTTATGCCCAGGGCAGTAATTTATTTACATTCTGAATAGTAATTTATTTACACTCAGTGGCAATTTATTTACTCCCACAGTAGTAATTTATTTACACCTCCAGTAGTAATATATTTACAAAGGTACTCTATTTACCACTAATGCGGTACATTATTTACCACAACTAGGTTACTTCACTTACCACTTCAGCGGTACATTATTTACAACTACAAAGGTACTTCACTTTATTTACCACTACAGCGGCACTTTATTTACCACTACATCGGTAGTTTATTTGTCACTACAGCGGTACTTTATTTACCACTACATCGGTAGTTTATTTGTCACTACAGCGGCACTTTATTTACCACTACATCGGTAGTTTATTTGTCACTACAGCGGTACTTTATTTACAACTGCAGTGGTACTTTATTTACAACTGCAGTGGTACTTTATTTACAACTGCAGTGGTACTTTATTTACTACTACATCGGTACTTTATTTTCACTTACAGTGGTACATCATTCACTCCTACTGATGTAGTTCACTCACTACTACATTAATACTGTAATTCTCTCTCAGCGCATCATTTCTCTCTCTCTCTCTCTCTCCCTACAATGGTATCTCTCTTTAAAGTGACCTTCCTCACAGTTATTTTTCCTAAGAAACTCCCTGCCCGCCGTTTTTTATCCCTTGACACTAGTTTCACAAAAGTTTTGCTCGACCCAACACTGTTTACCGAAGCAAAAACTCTGGAAACTTTTTAGCGAAGCTAAAAATTGTAACCTCACTTGATGGTCAGGAAGCTGGTGGCTGCTGCTTAGTTTAATATCGTTATTATGCACTCCACACCCATCCTGTGGGAGGTAGTCACCCCACACCCATCCTGTGGGAGGTAGTCACCCCACACCCATCCTGTGGGAGGTAGTCACCCCACACCCATCCTGTGGGAGGTAGTCACCCCACACCCATCCTGTGGGAGGTAGTCACCCCACACCCATCCTGTGGGAGGCAGTCACCCCACACCCATCCTGTGGGAGGTAGTCACCCCACACCCATCCTGTGGGAGGTAGTCACCCCACACCCATCCTGTGGGAGGTAGTCACCCCATACCCATCCTGTGGGCGATAGTCCAAAGATTACAGAGGTACATAATAGGTCCAGGGACTGGACCCCAAAGTTATGATAGCTGAACTAGTTACAAAGGTATTGGACTCCAGGTAGATCTGGTCATAATCATGGCAAGTTACAGAGGTAATGAACCATCTACACTCCTACTGGCCGAGGTAATGTCTGATTCTGGGACTCCAAGAACTGTTTTCAAATTCTCTCTGATTTTTTTAAACACTCTCTAATTACTGTATTTAGTATCTGTTTTTTTTTTTTTTTTAAATATCGTAATTGGTAAATACTGTTTAAGAAATTGTTGGGGTTGTATTAGTTTCTATTTGCTTTTCTTATATTAGACGTGAAGACACGCCATGAGACGAAAATATATGACTCAAACTTCAAGAATGTTGTCTTTTTATAGGTTCATGTCAAGCTAACTATGATTTAGTGGCACAGGCTCTACCACGCATGACCTTGTGTTCCCTCTGTCAATACACGACAGACACGGTGCTCCGTGCCCTGGTGGCTAAAGCTCTCGCTTAACACGGCGAGGGTCAGGGTTCAGTTCCCAGCGAGGGTAAAAATATTGGGCGTGTTTCTTTACACCTGTTGTCTATGTTCACCCATCAGTAAAATGTATACCTGGGTGTTAGTGGACTGGTGTGGGTCGCAGTCTGGGACAAAATTGACCTAATTTACCCGAAATGCTCTGCACAACAAGCGGCTTTCTATATAGTAATATGTCATTGATGTCAGCTAGACCTGTATACCTTGTACTTGTAGAAAAGAAGATGAAAATAACTGGTATAAAATACCGACACAATGGAAACATAAACACATATGCAGTTTAATATGATCCTTTACTGACAACGTTTCGCCCACACAGTGGGCTTTTTCAAGTCACAAACAGATCTACCTGGGGTGGAAGGTACTCGCGTACCTTCCACCCCAGGTAGATCTGTTTGTGACTTGAAAAAGCCCACTGTGTGGGCGAAACGTTGTCAATAAAGGATCACATTAAACTGCAATATGTTAGTTCCCGTAGAAATGAAGTTATTACATTATTATTATAAACATTATTATAAACATTATTATAAACATGGCTGCGTTGGCATCCAGTCCGTTGTACATCGATCATCGTTGATTGCAACCCTATCGTTGTTTACTATGGCTAAACTGGAGTGACTTACGAAATCGTAATAACAAACCACGGAAGGCTGGGGGTCATTACGTGTTACTGCAGTATACTGAGTCATGATGGCAACTTTAAAGAGACATGAGCTAGAGTTGGTCACAGTCACGCTGGTGGGAGATTCATCTGTAAAATAAAGAAAATGAATTTGTGATCACAGTGGTGGCCCATGCTAACCTTCCTATGGTGTATAGAAATTTACCTAGTTTAATGAATCTTACTGTCGCCAGCTGGCCCAGTGGCTTTGGCACAGGCCTCGCACTCACCAGCCATGGGTTCAAACCCCACCCATTCCATTGTAAGCTGGATTGGTACACAAACATTTAACAACGATTCACTATGTTCTCCTTCCTTCTGGGCCATAAAAAATTAAAAGCATAAAATTAATAAAGGGGATTATTGCGTCGTGATACATTATTTAATAAAATCGGTACATAATTTTTTGGGTTGGAAACACGGGAAAGTAAAATGGAAATTATTTGTGAAAGGATAGATGAATACGGGGAGGGCGAAGGGGAAGCGGAGGGTAGAAGAGGAGAGGCGAGGGGAGGGGATACGGAAAGGGAAAGGGAAGAGAGGGGAGAGGGAGGGGGAAAATAAAGTTCGTGTTCTGGAGTCTAATCTATGCAGGAAATATACATCAAGAGGTATATTTCTCTCAATGTATATACACTGACAGCTGTAATCCCCATTTTAGGGCTTAAAGTATTCTAGTGGGGTGGTGGAAATGTCACTATTGGCTTTAACAACTCTAGTGTAGTCGATAGGTTTTAACATTCATTAATGAACCAACCTAACTTAGCTGTGTTCACCTGCAGGTGTCGTGGATCAGGCAGCGGGACCTACACATTCTCACCGTCGGTATCTTCACCTACACCAGTGATGAAAGATTTAAAGTGAGTCATACTTCGTTTTAAGGAATGTCGACATATTAAGGTGAGTTACACAAACTGAACTAGTGATCCTAATCTAGTGATCCAAGATTCTCTACACGTTATCTAGTGATCCAAGGTTTTTTACAGGTCATCTGTATTAGTGACCCAAGGATCTTTTCACGTACACTAATCTAGTGAATCCAGGTTCTTTACACATCAACTGAGCTAGGGATGTGCCGAAGAGTCAGTAACGGCGGGTATCTGCCATGTTTTGTGGTATTAGGGATGTGCCGTAGAGTCAGTATCGGCGGGTATCTGCCATGTTTTGTGGTATTAGGGATGTGCCGAAGAGTCAGTATCGGCGGGTATCTGCCATGTTTTGTGGTATTAGGGATGTGCCGAAGAGTCAGTATCGGCGGGTATCTGCCATGCTTTGTGGTATTAGGGATGTGCCGAAGAGTCAGTAACGGCGGGCATCTGCCATGCTTTGTGGTATTAGGGATGTGCCGAAGAGTCAGTATCGGCGGGTATCTGCCATGCTTTGTGGTATTAGGGATGTGCCGAAGAGTCAGTAACGGCGGGTATCTGCCATGCTTTGTGGTATTAGGGATGTGCCGAAGAGTCAGTAACGGCGGGTATCTGCCATGTTTTGTGGTATTAGGGATGTGCCGAAGAGTCAGTATCGGCGGGTATCTGCCATGTTTTGTGGTAACGGTTGAAAAACGGCCAAAACTTCTTGTAACATAAATATTATAAGTATGCTTAAAAATATGAACATTAACATCATACCTCACAATTACGAGTCACACACACACACACACACACACACACACACACACACACACACACACACACACACACAGGGATGTCGTGAAGTATTTCTTTAGTCACAGAGTTGTCAGGAAGTGAAATAGCCTGGGAAGTGATGTAGGTGAGGCAGGATCTATACATAGCTTTAAGGAGAGGTATGATAAAGCTCACGGAGAGAGTAGTGACCGAGTAGCGGCCAGTGAAGACGCGGGGGGCCAGTAGCAAAGACTCGACCCCTGCAACCACAACTATGCAAGTACACACACACACCACACACCAACACCACACACACACACACACACACACACACACACACACACACACACACACACACACACATGCACTCTCACTCACATTACGAGAATACACAAATACACATACACTATCGATAAGCGCCTTTGACAACCAGTAACTAACTCAATAGGAGGTCAAGTAACGAGCAACGAACACAGGTTCTGGGTAAGTTACATTGTATACAAATTAACATTAAAGGGTGTGACATGAAGGACAAAGGAACAAAGAAAATGAAAAGAAAATGACAGAGAAACAGTAGAATAAGAACACATGTTCTTTGGCATTTAACCTCGGAATAACTAACAATGTCAAGTGGTAAACAAATAACAGACAGGGTGGGACATGAGCCTCATGACTCGGGACAGTGTAATAACATGACTGCCAACAAACCCAGATACAGGTGGGGTTAGAACTCATGGCGAGTAGAAAAGCTAGTGCGTAAGCCAGTGGCTTACGCACTGCCCTGGAGTTTTAGTAGTCACCTGCCCTGAGTTCTAACCCCTCCAGTACCGTGGTTTGAACACATAGGGAGTCCTAAAACTCACGGGCCAGTGTGTTAACCACTCGATATTATTATGATTCGTGAGTCAAGTAGTAAAGTATATTTCCATTGGGTCCTAGAATTCTGGGTGCACTCTGCTGTAATCAAGGTTTCCTTTACTTGAGCTACAAGTCACCGCTAGTAAGACATCTTTCCATCAAGCTGAGGGCTGCCACAAGGTGAAACTCCTAGCAAAACCACAGTAATGTCTGTTTACACATTATGACCAGTTGTGCCAGTTGTGTGCAAATGTTTCAAACTCGTGTAAATATGGAACGCCAACACTAAATCTTATGGAATACTATTAATTATGTGAATGGGAGGACTGGTATGGGAGCGGACCACGGGGGTCGTGACTTCCAAAAGCGACTTCAGGTTTAATAATAGTAATCTTTATTTCTTTAAGTACGCATGTAACTTATACAGACCAGGTTGACATCACTGGCATAATATATAGAAAGCTTCTTATTATGCACAGCACTTCGGGCAAGATAGGTTAATTTTGCCACCCACGTCGGTAGGCTAACAGGCAAGTACCTATTCATTGCTATTAAACAGGGACAACAGGCGTCTTAAGTAAACACACCCAAATGTTTTCACCCGTACTGGGGATCGAACCACGGACCACAGTGTGTGAGTTGAGTGTGCTAGCAACAGAGCTAAGGATCGGGCAGAGTTCAATAGTAATATGATTGTCAAATCAATATATCCTTCAAAGTTTAGTGGAATATCACAGGAATAGTTCACACCTGACTATGGGATCGAACCTCGCCCATTTCTTTGAATAAGGTATATTCTTGTTACTATATTTGCCGGAGCGTCGCCTACGACCTACGCCAGCAGGGTTAAAAGTCCTGGTTTGCTGAATTACCGTATTTCGAGGCTTTAGACGTATTTTTTTCCATAAAATGCTTTCAAAAACCACCCTGCGTCCTATAAACTGAAGGTCAGTGACGGGAGCTATAAATTTGGGGTGTCGAGTGGGCTGTAGTTCTCCCATTAACGTCCGATGCCGAGCCATTGAAATTAAAACAAGTCTTATATGCTGCGTCTTATAAGCCGCGGAATACGGTATACCTTACAGTCCAACAGATCCTATAGCTACTCCATCTCCATATATCTTATAGAGAACTGTTCTGCTGCTCCCTGGCCATAACATCATTATTATCATCATCACGGGGAAGTGCTAAATCCGTAGGGATTATACAGCACCTGTGGGGGAGAGATGGATGGAAGGTATTTAAGTTCAGGGAACCGGAGCACAGATCCAATTCTCTAGATCAAGAGCCCCTCACCAGCGTCAAGGAACCTCCTTTGAGGGCCATAACATCAGCATCACTGAAATACTCCTATGACAACGACAGGTGATGTGTCCCCTCTGACGAATAAACAAACAACTACAAGATAAAGATGAGCAATTATTCCAGAATTCGGCAACCAGTCTCTCTCTCTCTCGTTCTCTCTCTCGTTCTCTCTCTTATTTTCATTTGTTTTTTACAAGTTTAGATTAAGAGTTCCTACTCTTATATACTTATAAAAGCTGTTACCTGCCTCATCTCATTTGAAAGTCAGTTGTAAAACATGCAGATAGCGAACAGGATGAAGTTAGAGCCAGCTGCAGTCTAGCGATTTCATTAGGACAAGAGATTTTATTTTATCGTGATTGTTGTGCTGTACGAACATGTTCCAGTTAGTCATTCTAGAAATGAATCATCTCAGATGACAAATGATCTTGAGAAAGGTACTGCCATATTTATAGTTGCAGTGTGCTACCCGTCTTGTGGTATATACTCTGTCTTCTCATTGTCCGTGAAGCGGAACCAAGTGTGGTGCCATGATAATATTCGCCTTGTATATAACAGTAAGGTCACCCATATCTCTCCGGTGTTGAAGACTGCTGGAATGACAGAACTTTCCAGGCCAGGTCCAGGCGAGAGATGTCGTTTTGCTATGTTCTCTGTTCTATCCAGAATTAGTAGATGATACTGAGTGCAGGCAGTTCAAGGCAGTGAAACATGTTCAAGATATGAGTGAACTTGTGCTTGGTACAGACCAGTGCAACGTCTGCTTTCAAACAGGTACCAGATACGCCCTGGTGATGTTCAGCTTCTTGACTATGTTGCTTGCAAGATATACCACGTGGTTTTTCACAGTGTTTGGATCAAATTTCACTCCTAAGATCTCCACCTCGTCCCCGGGTTCCAACTTATTCTTACCACTGCTCCAGCATTACCATCATGGTGATGTGAGACCATCATCATTTGTGTTCTCTCAGAAACAAATGTAACCTGCCATCATTTTCCCCAGGCTGATATAGCTGTAGGCTGGTGATTGATGGACCTGAGAGCAGCTGACACCTCTGTCTCTCTCTCTCTCTCTTTGTGTCTGTTTCTTTCTCTCTCTCAATCTCTTCTCTCTCTCTGTCGTCTCTCTGTTTCTCTTCTCTCTCTCTCTCTCCTTTCTCTCTCAATTCTCTCTCTCTCTCATTCTCTCTCTCTCTCTCTCTCTTTCTCTCTCTCTCTCTCTCTCTCTCTCTCTCTCTCTCTCCGCTTCCTGTCACCCTCTCTTTTTTCTCTTCTCCGAAAATGTGTATAAACAAAAGGATGTGGAATAATATTTTTTCTGATTTATTTTGAGCGCCAGCTCCGGAACATGTGGACAGAATTTCGAATATTGAAATGAAGGCTTCCGATGGGGCTGCTTCCGGGCGCCATTTCATGGTAATAACGCAGGAAACTCCTTTCTTCTTCACCCACGTAAAGGAAGCACTGAAAAGGCATCTTTAAACTTTTTTACTAAAAATATATCTGATTTGCTAACATTTTTTTATAGTCTTATCTCCCTATAACATAAGTAATACTGAATGTGTGAATAAATACAGTAAAATATATAGTTTAGTTAAGGGAAAGAATTTTAATTTTGGTATTATATTTCGAGGTGATATAATATGTATTCAGTAAAGCCTCATAATAGAGACATGTTGGTGATAGACACATGTACAACACCAGGGCAACGTTACTGACACGTTACTTCTGTATAACAGACTTTACCTGTCTAATACAAATCTATGAGAATGGTGACTCGTATACTGGAGTCAGTGGAAGAAGGGGTGAGATGCAGCAGTTGAACATATGCTCACTTGTGGGTAGGCCCCATAAGTGGAAGTAGGTTAGCCCCAAAATTAAAATCCTTTGTCTCTAAGTTTGTGGGTCCATATATTACTCCTAAAATCAAGTTTTCGTTTCCTTTTAAAAATTCTACCCAGACAGGTACTGTGTTTATTCCTAAGCTTTTTATACCTGTTTCTTTGCAACAGTTTATGGTGGGTAAAGATATGGAAAAACTGAAGTCTGAGTGTGGCACTCGACAGTCACGT